ATGGTGTCTCTCCATGTGGTCTATGGCCAGCAGCCACTCACTTTCCTTTTCTGGAAGTCCCAGGTCATAAGACTAGAGGAAGGAAAACAGGAATCAAGCAGAGAAGACTGCACTACTATTCCCTTTATTCTTTCACGTGACTTCTGCCCATTGTAAAATGACAACTCACTAAGACCCCAGATAAGGGAGGAGGGGTAATCACTATCCTATGGCAGGATCATCATAAACCACTTTACCAATCTCTCTGTCTCCATGAATTATCTCCTTAGGCCCAGTAAAAACCATTCAATGAGGTAAAAGAACAGGCAGATTTCTTCTCTCCAGCTACAGGATTAAGATCCAACTCCATAGTCGTCAGTCTACAATTTGGCTCTCAGTCATCTGTCCAGCCTTATTTTATACTCTTTCCCTAAAAGACCCCCAGCCAAGCTGTACCACTAGCCTTTTCATGAACTCAGTATTCTATTTCCAGCCTTGGGGGCAAGCTCCCCATCCCCAAACCCATACCTGGAAGACAATCCCTCCTCTTCTCCATCTCTCAGAATACTTATATGCCTTCAGCATTGACATTAGGTGTCATCTTCTCTGCCTGGTTCCACTGGTCATTGGTTCAGAGAGTGCTGGACCTGGAAGACCTAAGGCCTCAAACTCATACTAGCTGTGTGACCCTGAACAAGTCACTTAACCTCTGCCTCCCTCAGTTTCCACATCTGTAAACTTGGGATAATAACAACATCTTCCCCCTTGGGTTATTGTGAGGAGCAAATGAGATAAAATTTATAAAATTCTTTGAAAACCTTGAAGCACTCTATAAATGCTAACTACTACTATTATTCTTCCTATTCTATCTTCCTTATACTCTAATAATTTGCATCCATGTTGTATCTCCCAAGTAAATTGTAGGAATCCCCTTGAAGGCTAGGACTATTTCATTTTTGTCATCATACCTCTGGTACATAGAATATAGTAGGTACTTAGTAAATGTTGGTTGAATTACTATCCATTTTAATTGAAGTATAGATCATGGGAAACTTGGAATGAAGTCTCTGTATCATCTTAGAATTTGTCGTAGACAAGGAATGGAAATCTGAACATGGGTTAATTGTACCCAAAGCTTTCAGGGAGAGTATTTCAAAGAGTTCAGAAAAAAGGATAAGATCATGTGGCCAAGGATTCTATTGGGGAAGTTAGCTCAAAGGGAAGAGGGTGTTCTCGGGAATGAAATTTTTGCAACATAAATGCAGACGTTTCCAGTGACAAAAAAAAAGGGGGAGCTGTCTAGATTAAGACTGATGTGGATGTTCAGGGAGTTCATTGAGGACTTTTATTTTTAAAAGACATACTTAGAATATGGAAACAAGAGAAAATAACTGAGGATTTTTTTTAAAGTGGTACAATTCTAGACTTATATGGACTGATGCTGAGTGAAGTGAGCAGAACCAGGAGAATGTTGTACACAGTAACAGTTGTGCGATGAGTAACGTTGATAGACTTAGCCCTTCTCAGCAATACAAGGATCTGAGACATCTCCAAAGGTCTCATGATGGAAAATGCTATCCACATCCAAAGAAAGAAGTATGGATTTTGAATGCGGATCAAAGCATACTATTTGCTATTTTTTTCTTCTATTTTGTTTTGTTTTCTCTTTCTTACGGTTCCTCCTATTGGTTCTAATTCTTCCTTACAACATCACTGATGTGAAAATATGTTTAATGGGAATATACATGTATAGCCTATATCAGATTATGCACTGTCAGGGCAGCTAGGTGGCGCAATGGATAGAGCTTTGGCCCTGAAGTCAGGAGGACCTGAGTTCAAATCTGGCCTCAGACACATAACACTCACTTGCTATGTGACCCTGGGCAAGTCACTTAACCCCATTGCCTAGCCAAAAAAAAAAAAAAAAGATTGTGCACTGTCTTGGGGAGGGAGGCAGAGAGGGAGGGGGAGAAAAATTTAAAACTCAAAAGCTTATGGAAGTGATTGTTGATAAATTAAAATAAATTAATAAAAAATTTTTTTAAAGTGGTACAATTCTATAAGAAAACTGTCAATGATCCAAAAGCCTAGAACAAGTGTTCCTAACTTTTATTGTGTCATGTACTCCTTTTGGCAGGCTGGTGAAATGCATGGACCTCTTTACAGAACCATGTTTTTTTTTTAAGATGATTTTTTTTTTTAGGCAATTGGGGTTAAGTGACTTGCACAGGGTCACACAGCTAGTAAGTGTCAAGTGTTTGGTCTGAGGCCGAATTTGAACTCAGGTCCTCCTGACTTCAGGGCCGATGCTCTATCCACTGTGCCACCTAGCTGCCCCTAGAACCATGTTTTTAAATGCACAAAATAAAATTTGTAGGATTGCACAGGAAACCACCTATATTGAGATATATTTATTGAAAGAATAAAAACAAAAAAGAGTTTACTGATTTCAGGTTAAGAGCCCCTGGCCTAGAATGAGCTGGTGCTGTCTTTGAATACTCTGCACAATAAAAAGGACTTTGTTAGAGGTCAACAGAAGATCGAATTGGGGAAAATGATCACTGCTTGGAGACAGATGTGACAATTACAATAGAGGATGGAGTCGGAACATTTCACTACTGTTTCGTTTTTATGTCTTTTCTAAGGAGGATGATTTTCATACTGGGAAGTAAAGTGATTTATAAGGAATAGAAACTCAAGAGAAGTGAGGGGATGGCAAAATGAAACGAAACGAAATGAAATGAAATGAAAAACCATAGATATCCTCTAGGAATTCAAGTCAGGTCATTTTCCTAAAGTGCAGGTCTGGCCAAGTCACCCTCCTACTCAGTAAACTCCAATGGTTCCCTGTTACCTCCAGGAACAAATATTCTCTGTTTGGCATTCAAAGCTCTTCACAAGCTCCTACCTTTGCAGTCTTCTTATAGCTCACTCACCCCCATACATGCTCTGATCCAGTGACACTGACCTCCATGCTGTTTCTTGAACAAGACACTCTGTCTCCTGACTCCAGGCATTTTCACTGGCTGTCCCCCATGCCTGGAGTGCTCTCCCTTCATCTCCCCCTCCTGGCTTCCCTGGCTTCCTTTAAGTCCCAGATAAAATCCCACCTTCAACAGGAAGCTTTTCCCTATCCCCTTTAATTCTAGTGCTTTCCCTCTGTAGATTATTTCCCATTCATCCTGTTTATAGCTTGTTCATACATAGTTGTTTGCATGCTGTCTCCCTCATTAGACTGTGAGCCCCTTAAGAGCAGGGACTCTCTTTTGCCTTTCTTTGTGTATCTGGGCTTAACACAGTGCGTGGCTCACAGTAAGTGCTTAATAGATGTTCATTGATTGATTTCCCAAAATGTTGTAAGAACCAATAAGTGTGATTGCTGAGCTGCTATCAGGACCCTTTTAAAAATCTTAGAAAATGGGAGAAGTACGACAAAACTGAAGACAGAGAAATGTCCCCATTTTCCAGAAGGTGAAGGTGAATCTTTCAGCCTGTAGGCTAGCAAGTCTGACCTAATTCCTGACAAAATTCATTCTAGAATGCATTATTATAGCGATGACATGTGAATGTTTAGAAAAGGAAGTGGTGGAAGCCATCATAGGGTCAATAAAAACAAGTCAGCCAAACTCACCTCATTTCCTCTTCTGATAGGGTTTCTAGACTGATGGATCTGAGAAATATCGTAGTCACATTTCAGAAAGGTATTTGACCAAGTTGTCATGATTTCCTTGTGTATAAGATGGAGAAAGCTGTGCTTGATGATATTACAGTTAGGTGGAGTGAGAGCTGATTTAATGATTAGACTGATGGCTACATGGGGGTAGTGGTCTTTAATGGGGTACTGCAGGGATCTGTTTTCAATCCTTACTGGTTTGACATTTCTCTCAATGAGTTGGACTGAGCCCTAGATGGCATGCTTATCAAGTTTGCAAAGTATAAAAAGCTAAGCTAAGAGAGATAGGTAATAATGCCAGATAACAAAATGGGGATCTAACAATATCTTGCTGGGCTACAAATGGGTAAAGAATCTAAAAAGATGAAATGTAATGCCCTGGGGTTAAAAAAATCAACTGCATAAGTAAAAGATGGGAAAGGAGTAGCTGGAGAGGAATTCATATGAAAAATACTCAGAGGTTTTAGTGCCTACAAGCTCAATCAGCATCAAACATGATGTGGTAGCCAAAAAGGCCGTACAATGTGAGGCTATGTTAATGAGATTTCAATATCCAGGGGAACTGAGGCATATAGCCTGTTGTACTTTACCGTGATCTGATGGCTACGTGGTCAGTGCCGTCTGCCGCATTTCAGAAGAGACATTAACAAGAAAGCTAGGGGAGAGTGAGGTGAAGGAACTGCAAGGAGATGAACCTGGGGAAGAAAGGACTAAGGAAAATGTAATATCAGTCTTCAGATATCTGAAGAATTGTCTTGTGGAAGAGGCACTGAAACCTGTTGGACTTGGTTGCAGAGCACAGAACCAGAAGTAGCTGACATGGGACAATGGGAAGAGCCCTGGTTCTAGAGTCAGAGGTGGTTGTTGTTCAGTCATTTTTTAGTCGTGTCCAGCTCTTTGTGACCTCATTTGGGGGTTTCTTGGCAAAGATGCTGGAGTGGTTTGCCAGTTCCTTCTCCAGCTCATTTTACAGATGAGGAAACTGAGGCAAACAGGGTTAAGTGACTTACCCAGGGTCACACAGCTAGTAAGTGTCTGAGGCCAGATTTGAACTCATGAAGATGAGTTTTCCTGACTTTGGGTCTGGTACTCTATTTACTGCACCACCTAGCTGCCCAACTGTGCCATCTCCCTGCCCAGAGTCAGAGTCAGAAGACATGGGCTCAAATCTCACCTCTGATGATTGCTACCTTTGTGACCTTGAGCAAGTTACTGGGCCTCAAATGGGGAGAGTTGGACTAATGACCATAGAGGTCTCTTTCATCTCTAAATCTATGATCCAGGATCACTTTATATGACTTCTATATGATTTTTTAAAAAAAAAAATTTCCAATAGTCCCAAAATAGAATGGGCTACCTTGAGGATTAGTGAGTTCGCTGTCATTGGAGGTCTTTACATAGAGGCCGGTGATTACATGTTGGGGATACTATGGATAGATTTCATGTCTTGGATTGCTTCATGATAAGACCTCTAAAGACCCTTTGGATTCTCAAATTCCATGATTTTGTGATTCACTTATCTTCATCCATTTCCCTAGACATATAAGTACATATGCACCCATACCTACCCCTGACCAAGGAGAGATCCTTGTTCTCATTCCCCTTTTCCTTTTCTTTTTTTTTCTTTCAGCATTTTGGCAACAGTTGGCACTGAATTTGACCTACGGACCCTGAGGGCAGTACGTGTTCTGAGGCCCCTAAAGTTGGTGTCTGGAATTCCAAGTGCGTGAGTTACATGACCTAGTTGCCATACTCTAGTTTTATACCTTCCCCATTGCTTCCTTTGCTTCCTAATGTCACCATGAGAAGTCAACACCTGCTTCCTCTCTGCCACCTCCTGTATTTAAGATGACAAATGGAGCCTGGATTTTTCTCTCTGGGGGAATCCAGAGAGCCTCAAGAGGCAGTGAACAGGATCTTTAGTAGGGCCTTAAGAGACACTGGTCATAGGGCTGGATGTCTTCTCTGAAGTAGGCCAGACACAATCCCAAGCTTCCCAGCTCACTAAGGTACATTTCCAAAACCAGCAAGCCACATCCTCAGGTCAGGATTGTGTAGAAGTTTTATTACAAAAAAGTGAAATCATTTTCCAAAGTCATGTCAGTCCTGACCCATTTATGTCCTCCCTCCTCACTTGACATTAAGCAAATTGCTGTAGGCTTTCATTTCCTCCTTCAAAATGGGGCCAGACTGGCATTGTTTGCTTCTTCTCTGGGGTTTCTTTTAGTCCAGGTCAAGCAATAAGACATTCTAAGTTGCCCAGCAGTGGGACCTCCCAGAGGAACTTTCTAATAATTAGCATTGTCCAAAAGTGGAATGAGCTTCCTCGGTAGACAGCAAGTTCCCTTACCACAGGTCTTCAAGCCAAGGTTAAATAAACACCGGTCGGGGATGCTGAAGAGTGGATTCCTATTCAGGCATCGGTTGGACTAGATGGTCTCTGAGATCCCTTCCACCTTGGAAATTCTCTGATTCTGTGTGAGTCTATGATAGCGATTCTTCACCTTGCTCAGCAGAGTCCTTTCTTTGAAAATACATCGGCTCCATTGAAAAGCAAATTTCAATTTTTTTTTTCTTGAGGAAAGGTGGGTTGAGGCCTTTTTTAGCACTTACCCTGATATTTTCCACTATTGAATTTGGCTACAGTTCCTTGAATTCTGCCAAACAATTTTTCTCTCTTAGAGGGGTTTCCACCTTTCTAGAAGGTGGAAGCAGCAGATGGCAGATTATATGCCTTCTAGTCATATAGCCAAATGATGCACTATGTATTTAGAGCTCGGAAATCTAAAGGATTTATGGCCACAGTTACTTAACTGCTTTAAAAATCATCAAGTGTTAGAGCTGGAAGGAATCTCAGACACCATCTAGTTTAATCCCCTCATCTCACTACTGAGGAATTCACTCCTTCCCTGGGACTTCCTCAGGCCACTTCTTGTCTCCAAATTTGCCACCATCTTTCTCTTAGTTCTTTTGCCTGAAATGGGACATTATAGCTAATGGCAATTCCTGGCCCAATTTTCATTGAAGTTGGAAGTCAAGAAACTTCCTTCTCTTTCTTTTCCTTTCTCAAGGAAATCTTTGTCTCTGTCTCTGTCTCTCTCTCTCTGTTTCCTTCTCCTCTTCTTCTCCTTCTTCCTCTCTCTCTCTTCCTCCTCT